CTATTTCCAAAAAGTGTTTGGACTTTTTGAATGATCTCTAAAAAATGTACGCGAAAAACTTCATCTCAAAACTGAAAATGTAATTGTGATGAAAAATCCTTGGGAGATAAATTATTTCATGATATCTTAGATGAAAGATACTTCCACAATGCATCACTCGCATAATGGAAAACATCTTCGTCCTATATTATTTAGTTTCCATAAATAGAACCAGAATAAAATCTTAATAAGATACCTTCTCCGTATTTTATTACTAGCTGCACTTTCTTTTTGCTATCGTATTTTATCATTTACTCCATTATTTTTTTTGAATCCTTTTACAATATTTTACTAATTTATTCTCTCCTAGTCGACCCCTAACTGTCATACTTTAATATTTTCATATTCCCTCTCCTCCCAACTATCATACTTTATTTTCCACTAGCTTCACTTCCTTCATAATTTATTACTTTTTACTATTTCTCCTAAAACTTCGCGTATGAAAAAATGAAGCAAATAATAAAATTCGAAGAAAGTATATGTGAAATAATTATCTCTCTAAATATATATCACAAATCCTTTTTTCTTTTAGTCAACAAATATTCTCATGCTTAAAATACACTAAGGACAAGACCCTCAACCTTTAAATACTAAACATTTGCCAAGTAATAGACTAATTAAAATAGTCATATGTTTTTTATATTACAACAAGAAGACTAACTAAGATAAAGTCCTATCCTAGAGATTTTCATGAAAATTCTTTTATTTGATCAACTCATCCAGATCCCGTCTTTTCTTCAACTCAATCAAAATGGCTAACATACTTCAAGAACCTAAATTAGATATTACTTTACATTCAAAACAGTTGACAATACTAAAACAAGCAGCAATCAGCTAAGTTGTTTGTCTTCACTTCAAAAACTAAGAAAACTAATATCACCAAACGACACCTCAATGTTGCAAAGAAAAGGTTAAAACGTCAAAATTTTAAATTATTAATCAAAAATAGTATGATGGGGAGAGTTTATACACACAACATCTACCAACAAAATCACATCAACTACACATTAGGGAAGGCGTTAGGGAAGGGAAGAAGTGGCCTATTCGTCCACAACTTTGTTAAATCAAAATCATAATCACTATAACGACAATTTGAGTGTTATTTTCAAAGTGGGTCTAGGATCCCACCTTTAACACTTCCTTAACCGCAAATTTTTTTTCCATTTTAATTGCTTTTTTTTGGCAATCGCTAGAATTTGTTTCACTTAAACACAACTATACTCGCATCTTCTATGACTCACACAGCAATCGCTTTCTAAAAAAAAGTGAGAACATTCGGGCCAAAAGTGTTTTGGCAAGCATTTATGATTAGCTTGGAAATTCTTAGGGGTTCGCCTCTCGTTTGCACACACACGCCAAAAAGCAAAATTAAAAAATTAAAAAAAAAATAAAATAAAATTGATTAGCTTGGAAATTAATAATTTGGGAAATTCTTGTAAAAAAAAAAATTTACACAATTTTTTGTATGCGGTCTGCTGTACCGTGCGGCAGGGTTACTCAAGTTGTCGGGGTTACTCGAGTTTCTCGGTCAGGGGTTACTCGACTTGTCGGGGTTACTCGAGTTACTTGAGCTACTCTTGACCGAGTAACCCCTTAAGTAACCCCTGACCGAGTAACCCCTCGAGTAATCCATGACCGAACCCCTCGAGTAACCCCTGACCGAGTAACCGCTCAAGTGACCCATGACTGAACCCTCAAGTAACTCCTGACCGAGTAACCCCTGATCGAACTCCTTAAGTAACCCTTTGACTGAATTACTCGAGTAACCCTTGACCGAACTCCTTAAATAACTCCTAACCGAGTAATTCAAGTAACTCCTGACCGAGTAACTCGAGTAACTCATGACCGAGTAACCCTTCGAGTAACCGCTAACCAAGTAACTCCAGTAACCTTTGACCGAGTAACTTGAGTAACCCGTGACTGAGTAACCCCTCAGGTAACCCTTGACCGAGTGAACTCCTCGAGTAACCCCTATTTGAACCCCTCAAGTAACCCTTGACCTAATAACTCGAGTAACCCCTGACTAAATAACTCGGATAACCCTTAACAAAATAATTCGGGTAACCCCTATCACATGATGTGACCTGTTGCACCAAAAAGTTGCTAAAAAAAATGATAACTCAAGAACGATTTTAGTAGGAAATTGTCTTTTATTTATTTAATTATTTATCTTTATTTTTATTTTTTTTTTACTTATTTCCAAATATATATTTGTTTTTAAAAATATTATTTCTCAATATAATGTTCACATCAACAAAATTAACTAATTGTTATAGCATAAAACCAATGTACTTGAAATAAAATACACCCCATTCGAATTAGGACATTGAATACCACTAATTTTTTTTTTTTTTTTTGAAATAAAATATCTTAGGTTTTGTTCAAGGAAAAACTAAGGGTTATAAAGTGTACCAGTATAGCCGTTTCTCTCTATTTTTTTTCTCTTTAGAGTTGTTCCAAAAAAAATAAAAAATAAAAAAATAAATAAAATTGTTTCATAAGCCGGAAATAGTTAAATTTCTCCGAAAATTTGGCTCTTTTCGACCCTTTCTCTTTAGTCTTTATGTTTTTATTATTGAATTCAACAAATCTACACTCTTTGAAGGTAGTAAGTACCCCTATTGTGGGTTTGAGTATAGAAAGTGCCCCTATGGTGGGCTTTGTTCTAGTTTTGTTTTTGTTTTTTGAGTTTTATTTGGTAGAAGTTGTTTCATGGGTAAAAATTTGTGCGGGATCGAGAAAGATGTTAATTCTTCAATTGCAATCAGATGAATCAGACAAAAACTTTTTTCTTCACGACTACAACAGATAGATAGACCCCCTCGTCGAAAAAGGTTGTAAATCACAGCGATATTGAAAGAGGGTATGAACAATGTACGATTGCAACAATGATCATAGCTCTGCTGAAAGGATGTTTTTATTTGATTCATCAATTGTCATATATTTATTAGATTAAAATCTATTTGTAGATGTCATATGACTTTTTATTTATGAATCAATCTTTATCAAAAACAAAGTGTATCAGTATAATTTTTTTAAAAAAAATTTTGTTACAGCTGACAACCTGACATTATTAGGGGATTCTCGTACACAATTTTACTAAGTACATATCAACCTGGAAAATGGGTCATTCAGGTCAGGTATGAGTTGAGTCGAGTCAATTTCGACGGGTATGTTTAGGTCGGGTCATATTCGAGTCTGGTCAAAATCAAGTCGGGTCATGTTCAAGTTGTTCTATTTGTAGATCAAGTTCAAATCAATAATTTTATATTTTGTTATTGCTATAATAAGAACTATTAATTCGGTTTATGAGCTTGGCTACGGTTGAAGATGAACAATTTGAGTTATTTTGGCACCACACATTTTTAGTTCAATAATAAGCTAATTTTAGTTCGGGTCATTTTGGGTATCTGGTCTGTTCGGTTCAATTTCGGGTTGGGTCATTTCGGGTGTCAAGTCAAGATCGGGTCAACTCCATTTTTTGGGTTGGGTCTTGGTCGGGTCGAATCAATTGCAGGTCATTTCGAGTCGATGTTTTTGGATCATGGGTCGGGTCATCGGGTTAGAGTCAGAATTTCCAGGTGAGAATGGCCAGGTCTATTTATTACCACCTACCAACATTGGCGGACCTGGCCTTTTGCATGGTGAGTCAAATGACTCACCAGGTCCAAACAAAATTTCTGAGTTTTTTTTAAAAAAAAACAAAAAAAAAAAAATTATTTTCTTTTGTTGATTTTGTTGTTGTTTGTTTGGTAAACTTTGAACCTTTTGTTAATGTTGTTGGGATTTTGGTGAAATTTGAACCTTTTTGACCATGTGAATTGTAGTCAGTGTTTATTTAGGGTGTTTATTGATGTCAATTATGTCTGTCAAATTGTCAATACACCATTGGCTTTGGTAGATTTATATGGGGTTTTGCATATGTGCTGATTTAATTGGCGATTCGGACGATTGCTTATGATATAGTCGACCCACCCTAATGATATAGTCAATTATGTCTGTCAAATTGTCTATACACCCTAATGCTTGTAAAGAAATTAATCTTGTCAATTATTAGAGAGCTAAGCTTGTCATGTTGTCAAATTTTTTTTTACATATTTGGTTATCGATTGTGACTCACCAGTCGGAAATTCCTGGGTCCGCCACTGCCTACCAAGCAGACTTCTTTAGAATAAAAGTATGTTTTGATTCTCTTTACTTTATTTTTGCCGAACTAAAATGAATTTTATTGAAATAAATTATTTTTGCTGAATTAACTTTTAGTAATTACAACTTATTTTTACTAATTCTATATCATTTTCGTTTTTTTTAATATTATTGAGGTGTTTGGTTACACAAATTTTCCATAGGCACTCAAAATTTCTAGGAAATACAAAAGTGGTGAATTGTTTGGTTAACTAAAAAACGTTCGAAATAAAAGAAGTTGGAATTCCATGAGAATTTAAAGTTCCCACATAATGTAGGAATTAAATTACCTAGGTCTCCTACGTCATTTTAAATTCCCATGAATTATTTCGCATTGCAACTAAACAAGGCCTAATTTTTATTGATTAAAAATTATTATTAATAAACCAAACTTATTTTTGCTGAAAAGAAGTTAAATTTACTAAATACTATTTTAATAAGATAGTGTGAACAAAAGAGAAAAATGAAATGGGAACAGATTCTCGCATGCCTTAAGAGAATGATTTATAAAAGGTGGTGTGAAAAAACGCAATAGCTTAGAGTCTTAAAAAGCATTACAATGACTTCTCTAATTTAAGGCATTCCCATGTAGAAAAATGGGGCTTTGTACACTGAAATTGTCATCAGAAATTTTTTTGTACAAAAAATGAATAAGAAAAAGAAATGCAGTTATGAGGTGCTGTTGTTATAATGTAGCTACAAACTAGTATATCTCAATCACACGAAAACAGAGAATAAGATTTAAGAGATACCAAAGGCAAATGAAGTTTTAGAACTAGAAAAACCAAATGAATGTTTTCATGTTTGAGCTCCTTTGTCATTCTGAATGTCATCACTATGATATACACAAATTAAGCTGCCAATATAACTAAGAATCCAGGAGGAATGTTCTGCAGCAGCAAATCTAATGTCACAAAAAGTACAATATTAGGAAATTTCTCAATTTTTCGCCCGAATATGAAAGCACACATATTTAGCAATTTAGACAAGACAGAGATTATGTTCTTAGTATGGAGTATCATATTCTATGAAGAAACGCCAAGTTTGAATGCGACAATATTCTTCAATTTCTATCACAAATCACTTCGTATCCTTTTCTTTTACTTGCCTAAAATATTGAAGATGCTCATGTGAGAACCTTCAAACAGCTTAAATAATTTTTTTGTTGCCGGAAGCACAAAGCTTAAGCAATTTAGCTGTTAAAATACTCGACATAGGGCTCAAGTCCATTATGGTCTCAAGTCAAAATGTGTTTCCAGCAATGACTGAACTTCTGTGAGAGAAGAAACCTTAAAATCTGGTTTGTGGTCAACTGAAGCAAACTCAGGAGAGTCATACCTCCCAGTTTCATCAAGCAAGCATGTGTATGCTCCTGCTCTTTTCCCACAAGCTACCTGTCATAAAAGGAAATTGAAAGAAATATTTTAACACATACACAAAGGAGTAGGTAAGTTGCTTCTTTTCTCTTTCTGTATAGGAATTATGACAATTATCCATGACAAGAAGTTTTGCATAATCTCAGTATATCCTTCATACCATGAAATTTTCCTAGTACCTTTAGGTTAGTGTTTCAATCCTGAAGAATTAATGGAGATTACAAATTAAAGGGATCAGCATTGCTCTATTTGTACTCCTCCCCATGCCTCTCTTTTCATCTGGAGATTATTGGACTCGGTTATTGTCCTCTTCAACCCGAGTTTTTCTTTGGAACAAATGTGCTGAACCTACTGCTTAACATTGAATACTTGATACTCCCTTCTAATTACCACAGCCATAGCATATTGCTGGCCACCATCACTAGGCCTTCTATGATTTAGCTCAATTTCTTTGAAAGAAACTATGTTGTGATCTGTATTCGATTTTCCTTATCCTGTTCAGGTTTTTCCTCACTAGGATGCTATTTTAGAGAGCTTGCCGGATATTTGATAAACTATCCTACACTAGAGGATTGATTTTGACAATGATTTCAGACTTTCAGGGTTGAAAATAAGGCTTTGTTCTAGAATCTATTTCAATTTTTTCCTTGTGATCTTTGTGTTGAAAACTTTTAAGTGGACTCGGTGAAATTTTTTCTACATGTGGTCCATCTTGTTGCTTCTACTTTTAGAGGGAAAGAGATGAAGAGAAAACGAAATGATGTGGATTTAAACCCCTTAACTTAATAAAGAATCTAAAATCACACAAGTAACACAAGCCCTTCGAATTTCCTAAGAAAATCGAACAGCTTAAGAATAAAGCACTGGATATGACTTTGAAAACGACCACTCCTGGAACGAATTCAACGCCTCTCAAATTACCTAGACCACTCCTGGAACTAAGTACTTTGATGAACAAAACTTAGACTACTCCTAGAACTAACTATTAAACGTTCTAATTATCAAAACAACTCCTTGAATTGAAAATTAGCAAAAGAATTTGTAAGCAATTAAGCAAAAAAACAATAAACTTGTATTGAATTTTCTGGTTGTGTGTACAAAGCCACGAATAATCCCTTATTTATAGACTAAAATTAACTATTCCTAAGTCTATTTGAACTAGGAAAAAACCCTAGCCTTGATCCCAAAGTATCCTAGATAGAATAGGAGAACCAATTCCACCTAAACTAGGAAACTAGTAATAAGACTAATTCTACTTAACCTAAAACTCCTTAAAACAATTCCTAATTAACTTAGAAATTCTTTTAAGCTAAAAACAATTCCTAATCAACTTAGGAACTTACTAAGCTAAAACAAATCCTAATTCAAATAGGAACTCACTTTGTCAAAAGCAAGTTCTAATCAACTTAGGAACTCACTTAACGAAAACAATTCCTAATTGAAATAGAAGTCCTATGTGCTTAAAACAAGAAAAACCCTTTCAAGTGAAAGGTAAAAACTTGTAAGAAAAACTCTAAAAACTAAGTAATGAACTACGCATCTTCTTCAATGGCTACGCATGTTAACCATTCTTGATTCTTCCCTCCAATTTCGAACCCTATAGGACTTAAAACCAATATGATTGGCTCTTCAAAAGAATTTCCCTCTTGATTCACATCACGAAAAAAAGAATGATTTGGGGAGAGGGGTTGATGGAGGATAAGCAATGAAAGAAGACGGGAAAGCGAGAAGAAAGAGAGAAAAGGTGAAGAGAACCTTAAGTTACCATAGATGACCCTAAACATGACGGCAAAAAGAGAAGGCTAAATCTGTGAGAACTAGTTTACTATTGTGCAATGGAGCAGTGTTATGCCTTTTCATAGTACGCAAATTCACTCTGCTTAAACAACCTTTATTTACACATTCTTCTCCTTCAGCTAATTTTCCAAGTACAACATTACTCATACATTCAGAAGCTATGTTATATGAACACGGCAAAATTGCTTCCATACCCAGGTTGATACGACCCGACACAGACCCGAGTATATAATCTGTTCTGGATACAGCATCTGGTCGTCGGGCATGGCGATGTTATCAAAGAAGAATATAAAGGGTTTTGTGATTAGCTTTCTTCGGGTTCTTCGTTATTCTCACTTTCTTCCTCTATTATTTCTACTATTCCTTTATCATTACTTTATGTAGCTCCAACTAGCTAAGGCTTTCATGAGTATGTGATTAGCTTTCTTACATTCATTAGCATAATGGCCTAATTCTCCACAAGATCAACACATGCATGTTCTTTTTTTTCTCAAGGCAATATGTTCCTTTCTGGAAAAACCTACTATGCTTATGGTACTTCTTCCTATAGGTTTCTCCTCTTGATCTATCAAATTTATTTTTCTTGTAATATTTCTCCTTGTTATAGCTTTTTCTTTCGCATCCATAATTAATTGGAAAATCCTAACAAGTGAGAGATTGTTTATTCAATTGTCGAGTTCCTGCTATTTCTCGACATTTCTTTTCAATCCATTTTCTAAGGAAAACAATTCTATTACCTAGGGCATCCCTAATTTCTTCATTAATAGGGCTTGGTAATTTATCAAAAAAAATTCCAAGGTTTGGTTCATTAACCAATTTTATAATAATGTATCTTAACTTCATGATGTAATTCTCAACATATTTTATACTACCTCCGGTTCATGTTACTCGCAACAAAGTGGTATTTTGCGGACTCCTAGGCAAAAGATCTTAAGCATGGTTAGTGAAAAATAAGGGCATATACTTAAGTATTAATCCAACCAAAAAAAAAAAAAAAAAAGACAAATTCAACTAAAATTAAACTAATAACCCACCACCACTAGCACCATCCTGCAGCACCGAAACCACCCACCACCACCACCCTACAGCACCGAAACAACCAAGCAACCATGAAACCACCTCCGCACCCACGAAACCACCCACCACCGCAACCACGAAGCCACGAACCCACCACCCACCGCACCCATGATCTGCAACCCACAAACCCACGATCTGCAACCCATGAAACCCACAAACCCACGACTGCAACCCATGAAACCCAGAAACCCACGAACAGCGGCAATTGAATGAGGCAGAGGCAGCGACGACAGTGACTGAGTGACACCAAGCGTGGAGCAACGACGACAGTGGAGCAACGACGACAGCTGACTGTGTTGATGCGAACGGTGGAGTGGTGGGTGGTGGGTGGAGCAACGACGACAGTGACTGAGTGATGACAATGGTGATGACTGATTTCGCGTGAGGCAGAGAGGAAGATGAGAAATTGAGAAGTGGAAATAGGCAGGGAGGCATAGAGGCAAAGCAGAGAGCAAGACTTTAGGTTATTTCCCGTGTCATACCAAAACGGCCCGTGTCTAAGGGTGACACGGCCCGTGTCCAAAAATCAAAAACGTCAAAAATAAACCGGACACGGTTTTTGGAGTGTCCGAGACGTTTTGCCCCGTGTCCCACGCGTGTCCGTGTCCGACACGCGTGTCGACTCGGACACGCCTGAACTTACGAGTGTCCGTGCTTCGTTGGGAAGAAGATGAAGAAATTTGATGATGAAGGAAGAGAAAGAAAAATAATGGTGATGAGGAAGAAGATGAAGGATGATGAAGGTGGCTGGGATTGGTTTTGGTGGCTGATTAGATAGAAGGGGATTGATTTTGGTGGAAATAGCTAACTTAATCAATGTTAGGGTTTAAGTTAATTAGATAAAATCAGTTTTTTAATTAGGGTGCTTAAAAAAAGTAAGGGTATTTTGGTCAAATTCCATCCAAAAACTTATTAAATAAGGAAAGAAAAAAATGTTGCAAGTAATGTGAACCATCCGTTTTAAGAAATTGTTGCAAGTACATGAACCGGAGGTAGTATTACATTTTGATAGATTACTCAATTTTCTTTGCTATTCCATTGTTATTTCATTAGGATTGGATCTCAAACCTATAATTCTAACTCGATGTATTTACATAATTGTCTAACATTCTAATAGGAGACTCACTAGCTCTTAATGCTGTTAAAACTTTGTCGTAATACCCCATGATACCAATCTTCTACGCAATCATAAAGACTATGCTCCATATAGTTAAAGAAATTTCCAGAAATCCATTCATCATTTAAGTTTAGTAAACCACTCATACCTTTTTTCCAGTTATCTAAGGCTAGTTATCTAAGGCTTCTTGCCTATCTCTTATACCATCTAGTTGAGTTTACTCCCTCCGTATTAAATTAATTGCTCCACTTCTCCGGGCACAAAGCTTTAAGAGGAATAGTCGAAAGTATTATTTTATGACTGAAGTAGGGTTGATTGAAGAATAAAAAAATATCTGAAAAAAAAGTGAGTATAAGTGAGGAGAGAGAGTATGAAAAATATTAAATTATGATTTCCACTAGAGGGGAGGCAAATAGTTAAATATTTTTGGTATTTATGTGATAGAATTTGTTTGTTTATATTTAGATAAAATTCATAATTTCAAAAGATAATATTTTATATTTAATTAATTGAAACGTTAAAATCTCATTTGCCGATTTTGCTTAGGTGGCATTTGAATTATTTAATTCTAAAAGGAATTACAAATTTCTTATTTAATTGGCTATAACTCAAATTTATAATTCTACATAGCGCGTTAAGAAATTTTTATTCTATGTGGCTCTCTAAAAACTCGAGAAAAAACTCCCCTTTATATACTCCCTCCGTCACAAATTACTCGCAACGTTTTGACTTTTTGCACTATTCACACATCTCACTTGACCATCTTTTCTAGCTATTATATGAAAGTCAATGTGTAACCATGTAAGATGTTGTTAGGTCTATTTTGAGGTATAGTTTATTAGTATAAAATTTTTATAGCTATTATAAATATATATTAAAAGATATCCGATGGTCAAACATGTGCATCGACAAACGTATCCAGTCAAAATTTTGCAAGTAAACTAGGACAGAGGGAGTATATACTAGTACGTACCCCGGGCGATCCCGAGTTTCCTCTGCAATATATATCCTTATGTTTAAAAATCCTCACATTACTTAGCTACTCATAAAATAATTATAAAGAAACAATTATTTTATTAATGTGTAAATCTATCCACGTTTGAACATTTGTTGATTTAAATGTTCATAATCGGATGAGTAATTTAATTTTATGGTTTCATTGACATTTAACAATTTGAGTACTCCTATACTTTATTCAAAACCCTAATTCGAAAATAAGTTTTTGGCTCCTAGAATTTTAGGATTTTTTTTTGTTGAAAGACGATTGCCTATTTGGAATTTTGATTCTAGTTGCGATGCCCGGTTTGTTTATTGAATTTTAAAATAAATTTTTTATCTATGTGCCAAATTTTAAAATATGATACACATTGTTATGTAAGAGGTGTATATCCCTTTTAATTTAGGATATTTTGATGTAGAATACCATTGTTTTTTGGTAGAGCGCAATACATATTATAGAAATATACACTATATATGAGAAAAAAATCTATGTACGTTATTTGAATTTTCTTCTCATGAATTAATAATTACTTGACAATCATACTTATAAAATAAAAAATATAATAATATCGCTCATAAATTGATTTATTTTGGAGCACTCTTTAACACGAATATTATGATATAATTAAAAAATTATCAAGATAATAATTATTAAAAGTTATAATTTAATTTTTTTAATAGGGTTATAATTTAATATGTACATGTAAAATATTGGTATTTTATCGAAAATAAAACTCTAAACTAGTAATTTTATCCTAAAATTCTATCCTTTATTGAAAATAAAACTATAAACTAACTTTTTTATATAACAAAATCAATCTAAATCTATCAACATTTTTATCCTACATGTCATACGAATAATTAATTGTTACCTACGTGGCATGACACTTGGCGAAAAGTTGAAACGCCAAGTGTCACTATCTTGTGACCTGGCTACAAGTTTAGCTTTTTTTATTAGTGATATGATATGATGTATTAGATTGTTAAAAGTTTCTAAAAATGAGAATGGCGCAATTATTCAAATGCGTCCACAATAGGAAAGTGAAACAATTAATTAAGTACAGAGGAAGTATAATTGGTTTGACTAACTGGTTCAAGAGTTACTTCTTCTTGTTTAGGTATAGGATTTGGCATGACCATGACATTTCATGATATGTATCTTGATCGTGTGCAACTTCCTTCACCTTGATACCTAGGTCTATGAATAACATTGTTTACATTATTACTTTCATTGATAATTTCTTCTCCAATTTCATTGCTATCCATCACCAGTTTTCCGAATTTATTATCAATTTTTTGTTGTATGATTTCAATAGATAGAATAAGACAATCTAGTTTCATTAATCACATTTGTTAATATAAATTTTCTTCTAAAAACCTATAGTTACTTCCTTCTATTTCATTATTCTTCTGAAATTGTTTTCTTAATCTCATATATCAAATAAAGTCTGTAACTCTTTGTAACAGTTAGGTTCATTGTCTATCTTTTGTTCAACAGTTAACTTCTTAGGAATGCTACACAGAAATTTTCTCTTTCTAAGTTTTGGAAAGGTTATTTATATTTATAAGGAATTATTTATTCTTTACTCAATTACTTGGACTTAAATTTATGTTTCTCGTTCATACCAACCTAATATACATTACTGGAATACCTATTTAAAGTGTTCCTCCTAGGATGGTATTTAAACCTTAAAGGTTGGTATAAAAAATGTTCGCTAGAACAAAAAATTTCTATACAGATACGGTGTGGACTGTACACATTAGTCTCCTCTATACTACCCAAATTAAGCTGCAATAACATCATCTAAAACTCCTATTTCATTTCACCTCCCAACTATTGGATGTTTTAATCACATAACACCCCACGGGATGTTTGATGAAGAAAGAACTAACCAATTTTAGAAGAGTTTGAGAATAATAATTCACTCACATCATCTTTGAGGCTATCACCAATCATAATCACTTCGTTTGGTTGAACTTCCCAGTTCGAACATATATGTAATAGGGGAGCTGGATCAGGTTTGCAGGGGAGGAATTCCCTGCTCACTGCAGGAGAAAATGTCATCTGCAGAAATTTATATGAAGTCCAATATATAGCATCAAGCCAACTTTGTCAAGGTGATTGTCACAAAGCATAATTAAAAACAAACTTAAACTAAAGACCAAAAAAATAAAAAATAAAAAATAAAAAAATACAAAATAAAATAAAATTGAAGAGAACCCATATGTTCAAGAAACAGAACCAAGGCCATGCTGAGAAACCCTTATCCGTGACTGGAATTGGGTATATTTGGCGAATTTTCAAAGTAATATCAACCTCCCTCCCACCCACCCCCCTCCAATCCAAACACCGAGAATTTCAGCGCTATATAGCTTTCAACATCCCACAAGCCCCATATTCCAATACCATATAGCCTCCCATTACCCGATAATCAAATCCTGGAGTTTTCATTGAGTTGGTTAACTTAATTGAACAAAGTTACAAAATTCAGTAAGCTAAAGAAAGGGGGGTGTTTTTTACATGGGAATTGAGGGTGGGAATGGGAATTTTAATCCCAACTTAAAAAAATTCTCTTGTTTGTAAGTTGGGATTGGGAATAAAGAAAGAAATGAGATTGGGAATAAATTGGGTGAATTCCCACTATTTTATTACATAGGGAGGGTAGGTAATAAATGGATGGTAATGGGAATAGATAGACAATGACAATTTCGCCATTAATGAAAAGAATGAAGGGAAAGGTTAGTAAGGGTAATTTTGTATTTTTGTTATTTATTCCCTCCCTATTCCCATTAACCAGCCAAACAAAGTATTGCCATATTTTTATATATTCCCAACAATCAATTCTCAATCCCATTCCCACATTTTAATCCCCAAACTCCCATTCCCACATTCCAAATGCCCCGGAGTCCTTGAAAAAAATGACAAATGACAATGACATCGAGGTGCGTAGTCTAGAAATTGACCGGAGGGAGTGCTGAAATCCCTTTAATCTGCTGAAAGATAATGGGGCTTGTTTGGCATCGTTTTTTGTTTTTAGTTTTCTGATTTTTTGAAAACAAAAAACCAAAAACAAACAAGAAAAATGTAATTCCACTTTTCTGTAGTCAGTTTTCAAAATTATCATGATTTTGATAAAATCGACCAATTTTTGATTCATTTATGACATATATCATATGTTTTTGAAAAACAAAAACCAAAAAACAGAAAACCGCAATGATACCAAACGAACCTTAATGCCTGATTTGGTCCTGTTATTCTTATGACAATGACTGAAGAATTATCACCTTGGAGGATTAGTTTTGACCAGCATAAAGTCCAATGCTTCCTAAAATCTCTCTAAGTCCACATGCCTCCCTTTTTCAGAGTATTCAAAGTCTCCCATTTGTATGAGGATTTTAAAAAAAAATGAAATAAACCAAACAAAATAACTTTTCGTTCTAAATTGATCGATATCAAGCTCACAAATGGACTGGATGGGCTAGAAACCCAGTAGGGTAAGCCTGATCTTAAGTACTATACTTGTGAGCCATGGCACACCTAACATGAATTTGATAAGCCTAGTGAATAGCATTTCTGCAATGTATCACTTACAGAGTTCATAGCATTCAATGACTTGGCCAGCAAACTATGAATGGATAATGAACTAAAGCTTCCAAATGACATATTATTCATTAGAAAGAAGACTAATTGATCTTTCCAACACTAAACTCAATGCTCTCAGACTAAGAACTATGACCTTTTGACCTTAAAAGTAACAAACTGAAGTGCCATGTGCAATTTGGTAATCCACCATATGTTGATGGCACTATTTTTTAAGTTTGGCTCCATTTTTTCTCCATATTCGCTTCCATTAGTATCAAACATAACAACCAGTATTAAACGATAATAATATCAAACAAATCAAATTTAAACAAACAATTAAGAAATTTATGTATTTTCCCAAGTATATTCAATTTTTTATACATTGATGTAAATTTATGTTAATTCGCATTAAACATATAAACATAAAATAAATTATTTATTTTTCCTAAACATTACGAAAACTATTAATATACAACATGAGTGGTGGTTGGATTTAAACAGGGGATAGAATGGGTATTTCCTTTATTAATGTGCATGAAACCAAGTATTTTGAACTTTGTAGACCGTGGTTGGATTTAAGCAGGGGGTAGAACAGGTATTTCCTTTATTAATGTGGGCGAATCCAAGTATTTGAACTTTGTTGACCAAATCAACAATGTATTTCCATATGGTAAAATGCTAAGCTTTTTGGTCAGTCTCTTTCATCCACTGAGGTGATTGTTCCTATAAATTTAGCACTTAACTAGCCTTAGTACAAAAATTGTCATATTGATTCCCTTGAGTGAAACAAATACTGACAGGTCAACTATGTGTTAAATTGACAAAGTGCAATAAGACAGTTCAATTACACAAGACAATAAGCAAGATACCTAAAGCTCTGCCCACAACAATCCACAATGACATTTCAGTTCTATCCAAAATGGGAAAAAAAAAAATGCAACTTGATGTAGGTTTGACAAATACCCACATGAACATGTTAGACTGGATGATTAGATTTAACAATACGATATTTCTTGGGTGAGCCAGAATAGTCGTGCAACTATGCCAGACAACCAAGAAATGCCATAAAGTCCAAAATACCACCATGGTGCTCGCTTAAAATTATAGGACTTCCAAAACTTAGTTCTTGTTTTAAGACAAAAATGAAATCCCAATGGAAGGTCTGCATCATATGCACCTAAGACTTTGTAAATAAGATCAAGAAGTGTCAAAATAACTTCAATGTTCCAACTTGACAAATCAAATGCAAAGCAGTTTATATAAAAACAGGTTCATCTTTTTACCATTGATGCACAAGACTGACAAGGCTCACTGATTTTATAAAAATGGCTTAAACTTTTTGCAAATTATTAGAAAGTAGAATGATAATTTTCCAGAATTATATTTGACCACCTACATCTTGTGCATTAGCTTTCTTCTAGGCATAACACCATAACCTGAATAATAACTATTATTCGCAAATTACCAAGAAAATATGTCACATAGCAGCAGGGATTTGTGACCCCAAAACAACAAAAGAAACTTATAATACCTGATCCATGTACCTAATATCACACCTAAAAGGCGCTTACCCCGAACCTTTGATGAAATATGTCAACTGAAGGCTTGACATTCCGAGTAATTAGTCCTCTCCTATGAAATGAATATCACACATGGACTCAGAGCATGCAGGGGAAGGTCAAATAAGATTTGCATTTTACACTATTCACAGTAAAGAAGAACTCAGGAAACTCAAGGAATGGAATTTGAATTTCTTATGAAGGAAATATAAATTACTAACAAAGCAGTTGTATTCGTATTTACATTTGGTCATATTACCAACACTAGAATCCATTATTTGAGCAAGCCAATGATTGCTTTAATAACATAACTAAACCATACAAAATCTCTTCAATGTCACCTTGTTAATATTCATCAAATAATATAAAGGAAAAATCGTCTGAAACTACCCCTAAATAGGCTATTTTGTCAGCAACTAACCTCTTAAAATTTTAACAGAAAAACTACCCCTAAATGTTTAAAGTTTGAGTGGAACTACCGATTTGTGTTTTTCGGAATCAAAATCCGACGAGTGGGGCCTCTTTCTATTTTTCCTCTAAAGATTTACCATGAAATGCCAAATTTGCCCCTATTTCATTGACCTCCCCAACCTTCCTTCTCTTCATTTAATCTCCTTCCTATCTCTAACCTTTCTTTTTTTCTGGACCACAAGAATCTCACTAATTCTTCAATACCATCGGCATCCTCTCTCTCTCTCTCTCTCTCTCTCTCTCTCTCTCTCTCTCCATTCTACTGAATAATATCTCCTACACATTCATTTTGTTACACCCATTTTTCTAAATTTCTTTTGTTCAATCATCAAATATTAATCTCACAATCTAGGTTTAGTTTCATACTATCATCAATTTCATTGTCAGCTAAGTCAATTAAGGATACTTTCAAGAAAGAAAAATCGACTTTTTTGAATTGTCCGGCAATTCGAAGCATATGAACAATGCAGTGAGGATTTATTGTAAATTGGGATTTTTTAAGTAGAATTTATTGTGAAATTTGTTTCATTTAACCAATTGAAAGAATTCAAAAAATTATTAAGCCATAAACAATGTATTCATAACCCTAACTTGTGCAATTACACTTAAAAAAAAAATAAAAATAAAAAATCCCCTCTATTTCATAAAGCCCCAATTTTTATTTCAAGGAAGAACCCTAATTTTGTAATTATTAAGCCATAAACAATATATTCATAACCCTAACTTGTGCAATTACAATTAAAAAAAATAAAATAAAATAAAATAAATAAATTAATTAATTAAAAAAAAAAAAAAAAAAAACACTACATAATCCCTCCATTTCATAAAGCCCTAATTTTTATTTCAACTAAGAATTGAAATTAAAAATTGAACATTAATTTATAAGCTTACATTCCTGTTATTTAAAACTCCAATTGCTTTCTAATTCTTCAGCTCGCACAAATCGGAAATTTTTTATTTTTGGTTGTATCTTTGTAAGGAGAACAGGGTGGGTAGTTATATACAAGGGTTAGAGTGAACTTTTGGTTGTTTATGACTGTTTTTCCTATTCCCTCAATTTCGTAATTATCACAACATTTTCCTTTTTCATCTGTTTCGTAAAAATTGCATCACATCCTTATTTGGTAAGGACCCACTACTATTTTATTATTTTTCTCTCCTACCAACCCCACTTACACTAATTACTCCAAAAGAAGGCACAATAACATCACTTTGCCATAATCACTATATGTGTCAACATGAACCTATATCTTAAAATCCTAGTCTTCTAACTGTTCAAAGTCAAGATATTTAAATCAGAACTCAAAGAATTATTTTGCAATAAAAAAAAAATTCATTCAATAGAAAACATAAAGATTTAAGGAAGTGGAAGGGCCTTGTCTACCAATAATCAAGTCACAAAAAAAAGCTCTGAATTGCAACATATTTGAAAGGGACATGTTTGGAAAACCTCATCATTGTAAGCCCAAAGAAAAGCTATTACACACCACTTGCTCCCACAAAGTATTAAAAAAAATCAAATAACAATTCCGTGAACAGAATAAGGAGATATTAGCAAGGTGAATTTACCTTAATTTCTTTGAGTCAAGGAAACCACAAAGTTGTGCCGCACCTACACTCACACTTAATAATAGTCAGAATTTAAACTTTATATAGCTCTATAGAATCAAAACAGCATCTAAATTACGGTAAGTTTAGCAACATAAAAAGTTTCAATTAAGTAGAATTGGGGTTGGAGATCCATTAACAAGGTCACAAATGAAAGTTCCTTGCAAAATTACACAAAAATGATTAATTTTTCCATTACCTATGTAAGACCTCATACTAATAGAGAATTGGGGTTAGAAATCCATTTTACCATGGTCAAAGATGAATATGCCGTGCAAAATTACGGAATAATGACTATTACAGAGTATTTCCATTACCTCAATGTATTGATGTGAATCAAGAGGCTAATTCATTTCAAGAATCTAATAAACTTTTAGAAGGTCCAAATAACTTTGTAATAGGCTGCCTAAACAAGGAAATAAACAAGAAAAGGTTTAATAGATTAATTGAGAAAGAAGGAAGCACGATTTACAAAGAAGAAAAAATGACACATTCTACTTCTGGCGGCAATTGCAAAGGCCACGCGACACACCAAGGGCCACGCACCACCTGTGAAGAACCGCCTTGAACCCAGCAACACCGTGGGCTGGCGCATGTAGGTTGTTTCGGCGTGTGAGGTGCTCTGAGGTTGGCAAGAAGAAAAGGATGATTTCTTGTTAACTTGGTTTTTTTTTCTAGAGTTTTGCTTGCTAGTTTTTACCTTTCACTTGAAAGGGTTTTTTTTTTTGTTTAAGCACTTAGGATAGACTTTAATTTCTGTTATTCAGTTTCTATAAATTTCCTAAGGTTGTTAGGAAAGTTGTTAGTTAATTAGAGTTTGTTTAGAGTTAGTTTTCATATTCTAATTAGAAGTAGTAATTCTATTCTAGTTAGGATGCTTAGAAGACAAGGTTAGGGGTTTGTCCTAATCCTTGTAGGAGTAGGATTAGATGCCTCTTATGCCTATAAATAGGAGGTAATTTGGTGGCTTTAATAGACATGAAAAATTGAGATTAATAAAATTGCTTTTGGTTTAACTTTGTTTAAACTTTTCTTTGTTAGTTTTCAATTCAAGGAGTTGTTTGAAGATTAAAATATTAAACACTTAGTGTCTAGGAGTAGGCTAAGAGTTTAATCTCAAAATAATTAGCATCCAGGATTGGGTTAATTAATTTGGGGATTTGAATCATAAGTTTCAGGAGTGATCTTGTGAGGAGAAATATCAGTTCGTCTATATTCAATCTTAAAGAAATCTTTAAAGGTTGGATCTTTAGTTCAAGATTGTGGGTTTTCTAAAAACTTGACTAAACAAGGGATTAAGATCCACATCATGTATGAACTTATACTAATAAAGCCACCAGCTATCTATAAGATAAGAGACAAACACAATCTCTACCCTGCCTATTAGCCAGCTTTGTTCTCAGTTATTACATGGTTACACCTACTGTAACTATTAGAATATTGCAAAAAGAAAATCTCTCTTGTTGCATGGGAATTAGTATGCTGTCAAAGAACGCATGCAGCCCCAACACATGGATTATGAATACAAATATGTACATGTCCACTGCGAGTTCTACAGGCAGTCAGATGGATCAATAAAATATTTGTTTCACTCGGCTTTAAATTGGAGACAACTTTTGGCAGTACAAGCCATGCAAGATTTCCATTGGTACTGGCCAAGCATTTGATGATTGATGCAATAAAATACAACCATGACTGCAAGAAGGCAGAAAGGCTTAATGTCCTTCACCCATTCTCCTGGATATTTTCCTCCCATCAACACATGATACTTATCATCAACTCAAGTTATCATTATTATTTTTGTTTTGATAAGAAGAAAAATATTACTTTGTATAAAACTGCACAAACCAAATTAATTTCATAAAGAAGACAAGGTGTCTTCAAAACAAACTGAAAATCAAAACCACTTATATATATATATATATATATATATATATATACACACAACCCATAAAATTGCCATAATTAAAGTTCAGTAAAGTAACTTCTACTCAGTACCTTTCTTTCACTCTCCTTCAAAATCATCATCTCCTAAATGCCTTCCCTTTTGGACTTTAAACAAATTATATACAGCTTACTTACCAAAATAATAGCACGCCTTTCCTAATCAGTTCTAGATTTGCTCATGGATCCCTTAACTATCCAGTCCCAAAAACTCTTCAAGAACCATTATTTCTTTAGTTCTTGGTTCCAACCTCTGTAATTTTTCTACTACAAACTCACCATCAGAAGATGCAGCCCAACGAACATCAGTAGGTACAGCAATGGTTTATTTACACACAGAATTTTTAAAGCTATTCATCAGAAAATATCTTACTTATGCATGCACCATCAGAAGGTGCACTTATTAATGCATCTTTCATGTCTTAGATAACAAGATTAGATGAGTGTTTTACTCTTGTTAGATAACGCATAATCAATAATTGTTATAGGTAGATCATCAAAGATAATTTCCTAAGTGCTATTAAAAGATAATATCATTAGGTAAAATTATATCATATAGTTGTCTTGGTACATCATACTTTAAAACGAAGCGTTGAACATTTGATGCCAGAGGAAATTGCACAAGTCACTGTCTAAACTCTGCTGCATGGGCCATGGGGGAACCACTTAACACTAGCTATTTGTTCGTGACTGGTCCAAAGCAGTTCCACAGAGTTCCAGAATGATTTTTGACAAAGAATCAGGAATAAGAAGTGCAGCAGTGCAATTTATCAGTAGCTAATAGGTTCGGTAAGATGAACAATGTGCATAAAATAATTATGCAAGATCCCAATAAGTTTTAATCCATTCACCCATTGGACTCCCCAGTTCAGTACTAACACTACAGCATAAAACATATGCGCATATATTCTCCCTGCATAATGTTATCACAGAGCATGCAACACACTAATAGTACTCTCAGATATAAACTGTATATTCACCCCTAAGAGGCTAAGACCTTAACACATGCTTATGCTTATGCTTTTTCACTAAATATTTTTCTTTCTCATACATTGATTCCCACAGAAGATACACAATGGCCTGAGCAGGCTTTCTGAAACTGTAGTGAGTTAGGATTCATCACAGATATAACAGAGAGCAAATTCTCTAGACTTTAAACGTAGACAAGAGATTCGTCATATAAACAGCTTTAAAAAGTAGCACCCAGCTCAAGATTTAGCTATCCAATAATGGACTCAACTATATATTTAAACCTTAAAAATATACTATCAACCAAATTGTCTCATTGGGAAAATAACATCCTATGGCTAAAACTCAGCACTGGTACCAGGTACATATCCAATAGTCAGACTTAGCTACATTGTGAGAAAAGTGTATGTAATTGGTCCAAAATGTATCAGTGCCAACATTTTGACACAAATAATTAAGGTGGAATGAAGAATCCCAATAACACAGACAAATAAGTCCTTATAACAAGGAAACAACAAAACTTGATTCTGCAACAAAAAAAAGGGGATCCTTCAAACCGGTAGTCCATCATAAATTCATAATAACCTCCTCAATTAAATCATGCTCCCTCCGTCTTTTTTTTCCCCCATTTGCCTTTTCAAGCCATTGCTTATCATTAGCCTCATTCCTCCAATTAAATTTTTTATGCAAGATCCCACAAGTTGTTATCTATTCAACCAATGGACTCCCCGGTTCAGCAATGTACAGATTCACAATTAAATGAACTACACTAAGAACATACTTCCTCTGTTTTCATTTACTTACAACACATTACATTTACACGCACTTCAAAGAAGTTATTAAACTAGGCAAATGAACAGATTAATTGAATAACTTTACCATCGATAAGAAGATAATGTTAAGTTGTTACGGTTTAAATATTTCTCCCTTTGTCCCTCAAAGTTTGCGATACTTTCCTTTTCGGGTTGTCCCCTTAAGTTTGCTTCATTCCATAAAATGGCTATTGGGACCATTACTTTACTCTCACAAACATTTGGTCCAACCAATTTTCTATCTCGGAACTTCAATCAACCAAAACTTACAAAAGTGAAATATGCCTTTGGGGGAAGAAAAAATAATAAGGGACGGAGGGGATAAAGCTTAAGCCGTTTGATTACCGTATCTAATCACTTCTTCAAATAGCGTGCCAAGATGGTGTGTTGCAAGTATCAAAAAACAAAGGAGTTACATGAGTATAAACTCTCTTGGATATATGATGCTGTTATCAGAGAGTGTGATACACCCTAGTATGAAATGTAAGTCCATCCCTAATACATGCTTAATCACCTAAATCACACAATCGATCCCCACATCAAAACAGCCTAAGCAAGCTTTCTGTAAGGGACTATAAACAAGAAGAGTCAGTTTTTGTCACAGACAGAAAGGAGAGTGAATCCTCCAGAAACTTAGATGACAGAACGCAGGTGCAACCTACATACAGCTTCAAAATGTAGCAACTAGCTCATGATTCAATTGTCCAAAAATGAACTCGTCTAAATATTGACAGCTTTAGCAAAACGTCAACCAAACTCTCACATTAGAAGGTGATCTCTTATGTTATTTGGACTCGATAATTGTAACAGGACGTGCCCAAGGGTCAGACTTGGCTATATTATGAAAAAAACTACATAAGTGGTCCATATGAAGCATCAAGTGCCCAAACCCCTATCAGTGTCAATAATTAGACACGGGTACTTGATGTAACATGAAGAGTCTAGGCAAGACGGGTACCATTATAAACGTGAACGATGAAGTATATTACCTCTGTTTTATATTGTTCTACTCAGGTGTCAAAGTAAGAACTAGAGTATGTGCTAAAACAGATTAAATTGGAAAAAAAAAAAAAAAAAAAAAAAAAAGGGAATAAAATGAGAAAGTGATTAGAACAAAAAAGAGCAGAATAAGTACATTAATTCGTTCAACAGTCATACTGTACCACCAACACCCCAATAAATAAAATAATATTAAGTCATAATAACACAGTATTAAAACCAGCAATACATTATAATAAATAATCTCCAGTTTATTTAAATAAACGCCAAGAATTATCATCAAACATTATGTTCATAATTCATCAATTCATAAAAAAATTAAAAAATAGACTAACCGGGCATAATCTGGAGACGATCAAGACCTTGGCGCTCGAAATCGGCAATAATTTCATAAGCTTTCTGCTGTTGAACAGGATTCCAAGTCTGAATATGATGCAAAATATCAATTCCAGAAGGATTTTGTGATTTCATTGAATTGTACTGTTCTTCACCCAAAACAGCTTTGTACATTGCCGGAAAATCTATGACTGGGACAGTTAGAGTGCCGTCCATGTCAAACACCACGCCTCTTAACCTGGCTTTTGAGTTTCCGGTGGCGGCGACGACGGTGGTGCCGGCGGGAGTTACGGCGGAGCGCGACATTAGTGCACGGGAAAAGATTGGAGGGCGGGGTAATGACCGGAGCATAATAATGTAAGGAGGAGAGTGAGTGGGAGAATGGAAAAGTGGCACTTTACAAGCTTTTTGTCATCCACCCAACTATAATTTTTTTATTTTTTTTATAATTTTATGAGAGTGGAAGCAAGTAGAGTAGACCAGTGAAATGGGTCATTTGGGTCGGATTTGGATTGGGACAATTTCGGGTCGAGTCATTTTAGATTAGCTAATATTTGGGTTGGGTATGGGTCAAGTCGGGTCAATTTGGCTTTTGGGTCTGGCTTGGGTCAAGTATCAGGTGGAGTTCGGTCAGTCGAGTTTATAGGGTATATGTAGTGCTATTTTATGCACCTCGTCAATAGGTGGTGTTATTGTAGTCAATTTTTTCTTTTTTTTTTTTTATTATGAGAGAATGGAATATAGTATGTCTTTTTATTTTCTTTTACACCCTCTGTTAGGGCTGTACAGAGGGCGGTTTAGACCGCAGCAAACCACAAACCAAACCGCAATTTTGCGATTTGAAAATTGCAGTGCGGTTTTTTTAAAATGACCAAACCGCGGTTTGCGATTTCAAAAAAATATTTAGACCAAACCGCATCGTAAACCGCATTTTAATGCGATTTGCGATTTTTATACTACATTTTTATTAAAAAAAATATAAAAGAACTAAAATATATGAGCTAATTTTTTACTATTAGTTAATTAAAGGTTAAAATAAAAGAGTTTAATATTTGAATTATAAATTAATAATTACAAAATAAAATAAAAGTTTTGTTTTAAAAAAGAATAATTATAATTTTAAAAAAGTATGGTTAAACCGCAAACTGCACCGCACCAAACCGCATTTTGCGTTGCAGTTTGGTGCGGTTTTTTTAGAAGTGCGATTTGGTGCGGTTTGAAAAAATTACAAACCGCAATTTTGCGGTTTGGTGCGGTTTAAGATCCAAACCTACTGCGAACACCCCTACCCTCTGTATTTTATTTTTTGCTCCATTTCTACATACGCAGAGTTTTAGGAGAAATAATAAAAAAAATACTCCTTCTGTTTTTGTAAGTGCCCCATCGAAGATTTTGGCACTATTCATTAAACATACTTTGACCAATGTTTGGAAATTATACATAAGAAAAAAAAATATAGTCTTGTGGGTATTTGTTTAAATCTCAGTAAAGAGATTATTAATATTTAATTGTTATAAGGATTAATACTGTTTTTTAATCCCAACTTTTACCAATTTAGTTTCATTAATCCCAACTTTGGATTATTCCTCAATACTCCCAACTTTAAGGTGGCCTATCATTCTTCAATCCCAAAAATCGGTTACCGATTGAATGGGTTAATTTTTATTTTTTTTGGCTAAAGTGACACGTGTCACAAATTAATTGGTTAAAAAAATATTAAAAAAAAACAAATTTTGTTTTAACATTTTTTTAAATAATAATGATGATTTTAATTCAAACAAAAATCTTAAATTTAAAATAAAAAATCCCTTTACCCAGCCCCCTTTCACCGGAAACCACCTGCCCCCCTCCACCAGACCACCCCCACCGAAACCCCCCTCCCCAGCCCCTAGTTTCCGACCCTATTCCCCTTCCCGTCCATGTTTTTGGTGCCCCCTCCCCTTCCGGTCCGTGTTTCCGACCCCACCCCCCCCCCCCCCCCTCTTCCCTTCCCCTTTCACAAGCCACCCTCCTTAAATTGAACTATGGTGGTTACGGCGACATTCACCGTATTTCTTCCACCGTTCAGCACGCCCTTTCCTCCACCAGTATTTCCCTCAACCACGTCCCTGGTAGTAGTTGATTTTATCTTATTCCAACTTTTATTAATTTGATTATGAAATATTTTGGGTATTAGTGTATTAATTTTTAGTTGTAGATATTGATTAATGAAATTATGTTGTTTGTGAGCACCCATGATTCCAACTTTCATACTACTATCTATTGTTAAGGTTTTTTTTTGCCTGAGCATTAAATCATTCCCGGTACTAAGTTGTGATTACTCAGCCTGTGTGTTAAAACATTACCGGTGGTTCAGGAGGTAGGGGGAGGGGCATCACCTGTGCCGGCGCGGGGGAGGCGTGTCCAGTCGGCGGCGAGGATGGGGTTCCGAAAGGGGGTCGTGGCTGGTGGTGGGGAGGGTGGTCGTGGGTGGGGCTTGGTTTTTTTTGTTTACTTTTTTTTGTGTTTTTGTTTTTGTTTTTTTTTTTTTAATTTTTAGACCAATCAGGACTTGACACGTGTCAAGTGACCTAATATAACAGGTTTAGTTACCGGTTGGGTATGAAGAATGATAGGCCACCTTAAAGTTAGAATTATTGAGGAATAATCCAAAGTTGGGATTAATGAAACTAAATTGGTGAAAATTGAGATTAAAAAACGATATTAATCCTTGTTATAATTTATAGTTAATGATAATTAAAGATATTATAGATCAAATTTTAACGTCGGCACATGTATCATGTCACTATGGGGCACTTAAAAAATAGAAGAGTAACAAAATATGATGAAAGTGAGGTCAGTTGTAAAATAAAAAAATCTAAAACAACAAAATACGAGTATGATAAAAGTGGAGCAAGTAATAAAATTCGGAGGGAGTATTTAAGTTAATGTTCCACTTCTCCGGATATCTATACTAACAATTAATAACAAGAAAATTTGAAGAAAATTTAGAGTGCCACATGGCCTTTTTTATTTTTATTGTTTTGGGTAGTTTCATGTACGTCACTTCTCTCCTCACCTCCTCTTAAACGACACTTATCCTTTCATTTCTTCAATTTTATACTTTTATCCATACGACGCTTCTTCCAATTTACCTTTTATATATTCATCAATCTTCCCTTTGCTAACGGTTTAAATTTCATTTAATATCTTCTTCAATTCAATTAATGGTCTGAATTTCATCTTTGTTCAATTCCTTTCTTTCAAGGAAAAATACACTTTAATAATTCCAACTATGGACGATTTACTTTTGATAATTCCAACTAATAATCCTGACTTTGATATAAGTTTTCCTCTAGAGGTCTCGATGACTGATAACCTGCTAAAAGAAAAAAAGAAAATTCATGTGTCATCAGCACGTGATTGGTTTAAAATTTTAAAAAAGAAAAAAAATAATACAAAAGAAATAAAACCAAAAACTATTCCCAGCCACCCCCTCCCCCTTCCCTCACCCCTTCCCCCACCGTGAAACCCTAGGCATATCCCTCAGCCCACCGAGAAGTGGTCGATGCCCTCCCCTAACCACCCAAAAATGGCCGCCTGGCCTTTCCAAGTTCCAACTCCAAAACTACCCAGCTAATCCACCCCCTCCCTTCCTTCCCTACCTCGCGTTAGTTGCCTGCCATAACTCATACTCCGACTTCTACACCACCGTTTCAGCCACCGCCGATCAACCCATTCGTCGCGCCACTGTCGTTTCGACCTGCATGTACTCCTCCTCCAATGCTCGTTCCTCAGTTTACTCCATCCCTCAAAATCCTAATATACATTAATCAAATCATGGTGTTCCACTTGGAGTAAAATATGCTACAGCCGGCCGTTTACGGGGGTTAGGGTAGGCGGCTGATCATTTTCAGGGGGTTATGGGAGGTCGCCGACCTGTTTTCGATGGCCTGGGGGATATCCCTAGGTTTCACGGTGGGGGAAAGGGTGGGGAAGGGGAGGTGGTTGTTATGGTTTTTGGTTTATTCCCTTTTATTTTATTTTATTAAATTTTAGACCAATCACTTGTTGACATGTGTCATGGTCACCTGTTATAATAATTAAGTCAATGACTTGTTGTTAACTGGTTGGGACCATTAGAGGCAAACACATAGCATAGTTGGGATGTTTAGATAATAAACCTTAGTTAGGATTATTAGAAGTAAATCGTCCATAGTTGGGATTATTAAAGTGTTGTTTTCCTTCTTTTAATCTCAATTCAATTTTAGGTTAGAATTGTAATCCTCTTCCTCTATTTTTTAAATTTTAGAAGTAGTAATTTCTTATTTTAATATTTACTAAACAATTCTTAGAAAATTTTGCCAGAAACTACCATTTAAAAGGCCACTTTTGAAAACATCATTAATTTATTTATTTATTTTTTTTTTTTTTTTTGAAAAAACTAGCACAAAAACCCAAAATGTTTGAGTAGCACTACCACTCTTGGTTTTCCGAAACGAATCTCTAGTTGATGAGGTCCACTTTATAAATTTTCCTCCAAAATACCTATATAACATAAAAAAATTGCTCATATATTAACCCTAAATTGAGTAATACGATTCAATTGCACCAAATCCCCTAATTTTGTAAAACCCTTAATTTAGTCTTTAAATCATCAACCCTAATTTAAGATTAATTGATAAATTAAATCAACTATAATGAAAAATTAAAGATAATTTACTTATAATTATTGTGTCCGCAATTGAATTCCTTTGTTGTCTCTAACTCAATTGATTGAAATTTTGTAAAGTAAGGCCCACTAGTTAGAGATTCTTGCAGTAAAATTAAAGGGGGGGGGGTGTTATATACCGCTTTCCAAATTTATCAAAACCGCCATCATTTTATGAAAATGGTCATTATTGCCCGTACTAAATCCTAACCCATTTTTTCTCCCTTTTTTTTTCTTTCTCATTAAACACCCCAACCACCAACCTTTTTCAACAAAACCACCACAAAGACATAGTAGAGGTTACCGGTAGCAGTTAGTGTAACACCCCGTATTTTCGATCCACTATATATTTTGTATGCATTTCAACCTATTAAACCTAATTTCTAATTTAAATCTTAATTTCTAAACTGAAATGTTAATTTGAATATGATTTAAGGGTGTTCCCAAGCTTTAAAAAACCCTAATTAACATTTCGACGAAAATAATTGAAGGTTATTATTTAAAAGGTTTTATATTTGAGTTTTAATCATTTTAACTATATTTGACTTGTCTAAATTAATATTAGCCGTAAAAGGGTGATTCCTTAAGCTTAAGCATTAATTCAGTAAGTGTTACACTTAAATTATATGTTATTTTGATATTATTTAACCTGTTGTGATTGATACGGGTCATCATGGGTGATTCCTTGAGTAAAGTGCTAATTTCAAAGGTGTAAAATGATTTTTGAGTTTTAAAGACGTTCTACGTTCAATTGTATCAATATCGATAACTAAAGTTGTATTGGGTGATTCCGTCAACTCGTTTATCAAATTGATATCGTTATAAACTATTCTTTAATTCTTATATATATAAAACTCATTATAATGTCATTTTATTTAATGGGTCATTATAAATTAATAATATTATTGGTTTCGTATCTCGTCTTTTTATATCGCCGCTTTTCTGCAGAATATGAACTATGTATATTATTGCATTGTGATTGAAATTATCATTTTCATTATTTATTATTATGATTATTATAGTTATTATTATTTTAATATCATTCTTGTTATTTGTATTATTATTATTATTATTATTATTATTATTATTATTATTATAATTATTATTAATCAAAACAAACAAAGTCATACAACCTACACAAAATTATTGGGAAGCCGAGATAAAATTTGGGCCCCCACTTCTCTAGCTATAGCAAAACCTATCCTAGTGAAAATATAAGCAGCTGCACGCGCCCCAAT